AGACATGGGTGGTTTTGTATATAATCGCATGCAACATGCCGGGCAAGCCAGCATGGAAAAATTGGCAAGAAACTTGAGCAAGGGCCTATTAAATTTGATCGCTGGGCTGGACGAAGTCGTAGCCGAACGGAACTCCCTGAATGGCGTTTCCTTCGACGTGTTGCCACCAGTTCTGCCGCACAAGCTGGTGACACTGAATAAACGTGACTTTACCGCTATTGTACGCGCACAACGTGAACGTCTTGCTGCTCGTTGGGCCTCTATTTCTGCAGAAGCGACAATGGACTACATTGAAACCGAATTGTGTGATCTCAAAAATGCTTACCGCAATGAAGAGCCCTCTCGTAATGCATTTGACGAGTGTACACACCAAACGCCCTTCATCAAGGCCTGGAGACTCACAAGTGGTCGATTCAAGAAGCTGGAGATGTTTTGTGGTGGATTGGCAAGCACTTTTACGGGAACGTCCTCTGTATAGAGCGATTTCTCCATTCTAAAATGGGAAAAAGACATCCACCAGATGAGCTTGATAGACTTTTACCTGGAAGGCGTGATGCACGCAAGGCAATTCAAGCTTCTGCAGAAACTTACGTTCTAAGAGGAGACAATGATTACAAACACGGTCCTTCGGTACTCAGCTGTCCCAACTGCATTTGATCTTCGTAGTAGTTTAATTAAGGACCCGTAAATAACCGTATTTAAGGTCGGACCTCGTCCCGTATAAACCTCTTTGCGTTATTTACGAGAGACCCGTAGATAGGGAGGCCTGCGCATCATGCACACTCCCTTCATAGAAGAAACATTGCACTTCAAAGGGTTTTGAGATAGCCTTTCTTTCTCAGGAATTGACGCACAGTGCTTTACAACTATACAATACTTGACATACTGTACACTACATCTGCTATACAGCTCACACCACCACACTATGCAGAAGCAAGTACGTCGAGCACATACTCTGGAATATACATATCCGTAACACGTAAAGATGAAGACAAGAGAGGTAGAGAGTAGTAGAAAGCTGTTAGTTGACCGAGAAAGTCAAAAGGAGTACAATGAAGGTATGTTAATTTCATTATAGAAATTTGGGCCTCCGCGCTTGGACATGTTTGCCGGTTATGCTCTAAATGGCACCAACGTCTAGAGCGTCGCTGCTGCATGGTTTCGACTTGCTGTTGAATCGATGCACTTGCTATAAGATCGCGTCTCACGGAGCCACGTGTCACACCTGGTCTACCTCTGGTGGAAAGGGAGTAAGATCTTGATCATACCCTTGCAATACATACTATGTACCGGTTGTCCGAAGAAATGATGATACCTGAAGCCAGCAATGCATTGTTTTGATGTCGTGTCAGTGAGCAATTCTCCCATAGAGCTTATGATCACTCTGGAGACCGCTGGCGGACAAGACGGCAATACACGCCTATATCGCCAACCTACTAATTCGGCCGGCATCAGGAATCGTATTGGCTTGATGTAAACATGGCTTACTGATGACTTGTGTGAACGCGCTGAGAGCACAACCTGTTCATTCCGTGGGCCCAGTGACATCTAAAATTGAACGAGAAAACTGATCAGATAAAGGAAACGGTTATTCAAGAAGACGTTGAAACACAACACAACCGCCGTAAGTATTTCTTCTGTGCATCGTGTAAGGTTCTCGCATACGATTGATCTTAGCGAGCCGAGGACAATTCATTGTGCGCTATCGCAAGGTCATCAGTGAATGTAGCTTTCATCCCTTGGTCATTGTGTTCCGTCGACAATTTGTGAAGTCGTAATGCTCTAATCGCTTGGTATCCTTTGTACATGCATGAGCATATTCTTCCTTGTGAACGAGCCATGTACTTTCACGGATGTCAAATACTGCACAAACAGTCACGCCATGTAGTTCCGCAGCATTCTACAGCCACTCTATCTAGCTTTCTGGCAAAATTTAGAATAAGACAAACAATGAATCAGATCACATTGTCATTCTATGAATGTATCTTGTATATCTTACGACGTATAGTTTGAACAGGCGATTTCATCTGTGCCACATAAACAAAAGAGAAGATTGTATCTGGTAGTGCGGATGACACAGCTACTACAAGGACAAGTTCGCGACTCATTGTTTACGTGCAAGCAACCTCAAATCGACTTGATAAACATGGCTTGATTGCATTTGACCCTATAGGTAGCCATTCGGTTACACGCTGCGTGAAGCATAAGTAAAGTGATATTGACTAATCGGCTGCACTCACACCCATTATATACGATATTCCGACTCGAATCTAAGTTATCCAAAGATACGAGATGACGTATAAGTGCATGTAGGTACAAATTGACGATCGGCCTGCTTGATGCCATCAATTCGTTTCGTATGTGGTGTTGATGCGAAGGATTTTGCCTGATGAAGAATCGATCACTTCACCAAACCGTGGGAGTTTGCAGAAGCATCCTGTGCATGCTCCTATGTTTGTACCTATATTGTAGTCTGAGATACACGTCGTCAAGGACTCTATCCGGGTGAAGCCTTGCAGGTAGATCATTCGGTGTTTCTAGTTCACTTTAGAACATCACAATCTGTTGCCGAGCAGTCTCTGCTTCGTTATCAATCATATCGAATATGGCATGGCTGCGTAGCGCTCTCTAGTATGCTTTGCACTTGCTTCTTCTGTAGTTTGTACAGCTTGCTCGTCGTCTATCATTTTGCAAGATTGGTCGTGAGATCGTGATCCACTCACTACAACTCAATCCTTAGCAGACTTCCTCTCTACTGTAAGATGGTGCACCTTGAGCAAACAAGATGATATGTGCAAATGCTGCAAACTCCTTGACTCTCCGACTTTATCTTGCCACTATTGGAAGAGCCAAAGCCTGATAGCAACAATCCTCGAGCTTTGACTTTGCTCAGCAACGTTCCCAAAAAGTTGCTTCTACATTAGTAGCTTTCTGTACAGCGATCGCTGCGCATCAGCAAGAGTCTTCGAGGCACCAGCTATAGCTCGTGTAGCAAAAACTGACGTGGTGGGAGAGCTCGATCAAACAATCAGGAGGTTGCCACTGCAACGTTGTGGGTTATATATTGGGCCGGGCCTTATGGCTAAGACAGGACAGCTGATCGCGGTCTAAAGAGTCTGAAGAATAGCATTGTCAAGTGCATAGTATGAGTCATGTCAGCAAACCCACGGCGAGTAAGTATTCTGGGGCAAATGGTGTGTGAAGGATGTACGGATATGGTGTGGAAATCATGCCCTCAAAATGGATACGATATGCTCCATTTGTACAGATTAACTGGCATATGACCTTACGTGAAGTCCCATTTTTTGTACACATCAGGTAATCAAAAAGCGAACAGGCCCTAAGTATAACGAAGCTGTATGACCAAAAACAGCTTGACGATGTATCCTCAGTACAGCCAGGAATTTTCCAGTCATAAACATGTGTGTGCCATATGCATTACGCTCATGTTCTACTTTGTCGTCTTTGGCCCAAACATCTACACATAGGGCACACCTCGCCACGACAAAGACTTTGACCCCCGGTCAGAAATATCCCGAGAAATACCTCCGTTGTCGCGGTTTCTTCTTAGGATTTCCAAGACGTGCCTGCCCTGGCTTTACAACCCAGTGTTTTCTTCCTGACTCAGACGCCTTGTGCATAATCGTACATGTTACCGCTCGTTTCAAAATTCCATCTAAAGAACATGAAATTTGTCCCCAACTGCATATGTTTGATCGGGTCCTAAAGCATTTGAAATGACGGCTAGGCCAAAATGAATATGATCGGACTGCAAACATACTAACTAGGCATAACGGATATGCGCTCACCATTTTGGGTCTGCAGACGCAATCTTGTAGTGGTCATAAGCCAACGTGCCCAAAAACGATATTATCGTATACATATGGCATGGAATGTATACTTTTGTCGATATTGGGTATATGGTACGTACTTTACAAAGTGCGTGCATTAGGCTTCAAGCTGGTCGAGTGGGAATTGAAACACCGTGACGTGAAGGCATCATGAACCGACTCTGTGTAGCGCCGTCTTGGAGTGAAACCATCGGCGGTTCTTTGCGGTGTGATAAAGATAACCTTTCCGTGCTCGTTGTGTCGCAGGGCTTGCTACACGTCGAAAAACAGATGCCAATATCCGTAGGCTCGGATGCACGCCATCTCGTTCTGCACAAAGGGCTACTGACGTGGTGCACACGACGCGCACTTTCCCGCGCCAATTAGACACCTGGCAAAGACAAGAAACGGCCTCACGCGCGCGCACCTCTACGACGTCTGAGCTGCCACTGTCCCCTCTCCTCCCGCCCCAAGTTGCTGCACTCTATCGCTAATCACATAGCGTCCCCCAAACCCACCGCACCCAAACAAGTCCAGCAAACCTCTCTGATGACGCGCCACAAAACAACAACAGCCACAACAACAACAACTGCCCCATCAGCCCCACCAGTAGTGGCTCCGGCCACACAACAAGCCCTCGACCCAACACTCCCTCGCAGAAACAGGCGGCGCCGTCGTCTCGCCGAACACAAACGCTCTCAACGTCACTCTGTCTCTCTCTCACTCACTCCTCTCACTCTCTCACTCCTCACTCACTCACTCGCTCTGACTTCTGACTACTTTTTGTTTCCCGGGCGAGTCAGCAGCAGCAGCGCCCGTCGCAAAATGATTCAAGTGCGGCGGAACGCTGCGGACGGCCCCACGGCCGCTGCCACTCCCGCGCGTGCGCCTCCGCCTCTGCCGCCGCCCTCTGCGACGCCCCTCGAGGCCCCCAGCAGCAGCAGCAGCGAGCGGCCGCCACTCACGGCGCTCACGGACGGCCTCGTGCTCCGCAGCACAGCGACCACAGCACCTCCTGCGACGACCGCTTCCGCTCTATCGGCGCTGGCGGCACACGCTGCCGCCAGCAGCAGCTCGCGCGGCACGAGTTCGCTCCCGACGAGCGCCATGGGCGCCAGTCGCCGCCCGCCGCTGCCCAAGTGGGACATGGGGACCATCTCCGAGGACACTATGGTCGCGGCGTTCCACGGCGCGAGCGCTGCTGCCGCGGGCTGGTCGAACGAGCGCTTCGAGCTCACGGACACGGGCGAAGTGCGCAACCGCGTGACGCGCGCGCGCATCTCCAAGCACGAGATCCGCGCGCACGGCGAAGAAGTGCTGCGCGGCCTCATTGCTACGGTGCACACGCGCATGCTGCAGGAGCTGCTGTTCCTCGAGCAGGCGATCCCACCGCTCGAGTTTGAGCGCTCGTCGGTGGACTCGCGGTTTGAGCCGGGGGCGAGCACGAGGAGGGGCGCGAGTCGCAGCAGTGTGGCGACCAACGGCAGCAGCGGCAGTGGCTGTGGCCGCCGCGTGAGCGTGAGTAGCTCTTCGGTGCGCTCGAGCTCGTCGAGCATCTGCTCGACGAACGACGGCTTCCGGATGATGATTGACACGGACGAGCCGCGGTGCATCTTCCACACGAGCACGAACTTTAGTGTTGCGGAGAAGCTGCTCGTCTACGTCTGTTCGTTTCGCGGCTTGAGCTGCGGGATCTGGAGCCGCAGTGTCTTGCTGAAAGACGGGGTTCAGGTCGGCTCGATGCTGCCGTACTTCCAGAAAGCAAGCGCGGCGGGCTACGGCATCTTGGTCATGAACCCCAACATGAACACGCAGTTGATGGTGACGTCGGACGGCACGGTCGAGAAAATGCCCATTCGCGGCTCGAGTAATGCCGAAGAGCACTGCGACCACGTGTGGCGCAACTACATTTTCCCGTCGGCCGCGCACAAAGTGCACTTTATTGCGTATGGATACGGCGGCGTGTTGGTGACGCAGCTCATTGCAAAGTACCGGTACGAACTCAAGAGCCGTTTGGGGAACGTCGCGTTCATTGAGAGCTCGCACAAGATTGATCCGTCGTGGAACTCGGGGTTCAAGCGCTTTTTCTCGCAGCACAGTATATCATGGTCCCGGTCGGACCTTCCTCTTAATACCGAACTCAGTCGCGATGCGACAGCGTTTGCTCCAGGCGGAGGTCCGAGTGGCACAGGAACGGTGACAAGCAGTGACGATGGTCTTTTGGCGAATGCGTTGTCACAGTCGTCACGCACTCCCACAAGTCCCAGTGCGAAGCAGCTGACAGGTTTTGGCTGTATTTGCTTATCCGCAGGGCCTTGTGAAGGCGCGAACGAAAGTCCAGCTTACACGACGAAAGCCGTACTAGAGACAGTGTTTGCTTTCTTGGCGTCGCCCACACCTTACGAGTTCCAGCGTCGTGCTGCACGCGAACTCCGTTTGAACACATTGCTGGAGGATCAGCAGCAACTGAAACCTCAAGCTCAAGGTGGAAAAGATGGATATGGTGAGCGCGAGGAGCAAGGGGCGGACAGGAAGCAGCTCCCGCGGGATCAATCTCCACTACCGCGGAAGCAGACAGTGTACGATACGGTGCTTGGTGGTGCGGCTGGAGGTGCTTCGCAAGAGCTAAAACCGCGTGAGTACGACACGTTGACGATTGACGATTTTGATTTGCTGCGCGTGGTTGGTCGCGGCGCCTTTGGTAAGGTAATGCTGGTCCGAAGAAAGGCGCAACAACAACAGAAAGGAGCACGGTTACTAAGCCCTCGCACAATGGTGGCGATGGGCATGACGCCACAACAGATTGCATTCGCTACTGGCGGCGAGAGTGGCAAGGTGTACGCTATGAAGGTGATTAAGAAGGCCGCTGTGTTTGCAAAGAACCAAGTGGAGCACACGAAGACGGAACGGCGTATCTTGCAGGGCGTGGACCACCCGTTTATGGTGAAGCTGCGGTATGCATTCCAGAACGAAGCAAAGCTGTATTTCGTAATGGACTTTTACAACGGCGGCACTCTGCACTTCCACCTGCGTCGTGCAATGCACTTCGATGAGGTTCGCACTCGCTTTTACTCAGCGCAGCTCGTATTAGCAGTTTCGCACCTGCACACGTACAACATCGTGTACCGCGATCTCAAGCCCGAGAACATCTTGCTGGACGATCAGGGATTTATCGCACTGACCGATTTTGGTTTGTCGCACGATAACTTTGACAGTAAAGATGGCATGCAGACCTTCTGCGGCACGCCCGAGTACATCGCCCCCGAGCTCATTCGCCGCGTTTCGTACGGCAAGGCGGTCGATTATTGGTCTCTGGGCGTCCTGATATTCGAGATGCTTGCGGGTTACACGCCATTCTACCACGCAAATCGTAAGCGCAACTTCCAGAACATTGTGAAGCTTCCACTTCGGTTCCCGTCCGAGTTTTCCGAGGATGCTCGTTCACTACTGCGCGGTTTGATTTGTCGCAACCCAGCAAAGCGACTTGGCTCGGGGCCGTGCGGTGCTCAAGAGATTATGGACCATCCGTTCTTTGCTGACGTCGATTGGGAAAAGCTGTATAAGCGTGACGTGCCTGTACCATTCCGGCCTGTAGTCAAATGTGACGGTGAAGTGAGCAACGTGCCGGAATTTTTCAAGCGACAAGAAGTCGTGGACTCGGTAGTCTCAGATGCACCTATCGGCAAGAGCCACGTGTTTCAAGGGTTCTCCTATACGGACCCGTGCAACATGTAGAAGACGATCGAGGAAGATGCAGTGAATGGGAGGACTCTGTGTGTGGGGGAGCTGCTGGCACCGGATGTGGAGAGCAGAGCGAGTCAAATGGTGATGTGATTTATCTGGTGATCCAGCTGTTCGCTCTACTCTGGTATCAACTGGCTGAGAGTTGTTTGCAGCGGTTTGCAGCCGTAGAGTTGTTTGCAGCAGTTTGCAGCTGTTTACAGCAAGCTCAGCGGCACATGGACGACAAGTGTCGAGTGAAGGTCGACTTGTGGTGAGCAAAGTGCAATGGTCAACAGAGTTACAAGCAAGAGAAGAATGATTGTCTGCAACTCGTCCGAGACGGTTGCGACGTCGCAGAGGTTGCTTCACGTAATATGCAGCGAAGTACTTGGCGGCTGCATCTCCATGTCAAAAGCTGTTGTGGCTGGACTGCACAGCTTCCACAAGGTATGTGTGCGGTTTGTGTGGGGTCTGCAAGAGCGACGTTGTTGGCGTGGCTGTGACGACATTGATTTGGATTGAGGTGGTCATTAAAGGATCTTCCCGTGCTTCGCTTGTATCGTTTCGACGCTGTTCACTCGGTGACATTGACACGAATGTTGGGCTACAGCAGCAACGTCAGTTCAGCAAAGTACTCGTCAAAACGAACCTCCACGTCAACTTGCTTTTGACCAAGCAACAAACGGCTCTGTCGAAGCCAACACGTCGGTTCTTGTGGTGGGCGAAGTTGTTGTGCCTGGTGATGCGCATGGCTGCGTATGCATCTTGACACGCTCAATGCGTCTCTGCGAGAACGCGAGTGTACCGTTTAGCATGCACGGCGATCTAGAACTTGCATCTGCGCTCGAGCCGAGTACCGCAAGCAAAGTAGTGACTTCAGTGGCGCCCCTGGTGATTCCAGCGCCGATCTTGCAGCACGAGCACAAGAGCGGCAGAATGTGCAGCAGACGTTGTAGGGGGACACAAGAAAAACGACCGCATCGGCGGCGATATTGGAACAAGGCAAATAGCAACTGAATGTGTTGCGGCTCTCGCTGGGACGTGACGTATTCTGCACTGACGACTGCAGTACACAAAGCGAGGGGTGTGCCAACTTCAGTGCTTGCATGTGCTGCTAACGAATGTGGACATGGACCTATCATCGGTCCCGAAAGCACGGATCAAAGCTCGAGATGCTCAGGACGGTCAGCGTTGCTCGAGTCTAGTGCAGCATTCGCGACTAGTCGAGCCGGTGCAAACGCGCGTGACAAACGTAGACGCGATCGGGCTGAAAGAACAGAACAATTTATTGCGGTTGGACCCACGCGTTGGTTGTGCTGCTAAGTTCTCCTCTACTGCACTGTGCTCGACAAGAGTGCTTTCTGGTGCCCACGCAGGTGCTTGACGGTCGGCAAATCTCATTTCTTCCTGGACTTGCGCGAGCGCTTCGACGCCGGAGGAACTTGCACCGCTTTGTTCTGTTCCCTCCATTTTTTGGAGTACGCTGACATGATCTCGGCCACGGACGACACTTCGTGAGGTTGAGGCAGACCAAAGACGTTTTGGAACACACTGGAAGGACTCATCTTCTTGGCCAACCACGGCTGAAACAACCGGTCGAAACGCTTTTCGGACGGGTTTTCGTCATACGCAGCTAATTCAGCAATCTGGATTGCGAATGCGCGGTCGCCAAGGTTCGCCCTCAGACATGTGAACACGTCTGTCTGTGCGTTAGGATATTCCTTGTTGAGCAAAAGGATATATTTATGCAGGATATGCACGTCCTCGAACGATAAGCCTTTGGACCCCAATGCCTGGAGCCCTAGGATCGCGAAAACATCGTCTTCGAATTCTCCTCGCGCCAGCCAGCGGCCGAACAACTCATTAAGCAACTTCTCTGCTCTGTCTTCGTGTATCGAGCTCAGACTCGCGAAGGACAAAAGCCGGGCGACATTGGCTTCGCTTTTAAAACCTATCAACAAGGCATGAAGCAGTTTGAAGTTACTCTCGTGCTTCTTGTTGAATTCCTCGACACACAACCTCATCACCTCCAGCTTCACCGTCGCGAACATATTGACCCCCTCGTCTGCGAGCTGTAGCAGGGTAAACACTTCCCCAATGGATTTCCCCTCCTCAATCCAACCCTTCCCGTACTTTTCAAACTCTTCTGCGGCCTCACTCGCCTGACGCTTGCGCTCGTACTTGATCGCCTCCTCGACTATCTCCTTTTCTCCCTTTTCCTGATCTGCTGAATTGTGAGACGTCAACAAGCGATTCAATCTCATGAAGCGCTCATTCGACAACGAATCCATCAGTGATTCGATGACCGATTCATCGAGGGCTTGCAATCGGCTTAAAATTGCGTCTTCATGCGCACGCATAGTCTGGCGATCTCGATTAGTTGGTGGTTCATGCCGAGCTTTGCGAATAACGTCGAAGGCCTTGTCATCCTCCATCAGCAAAGTCTTTACCGCAGAAAGAGCCTTTCCTTCCGTCTTTGATGCTTGCCGCAGTGCGGGCAAAGCTTTGGCCGTCGACGTGGCCAGAACGATGGGTCCTATTCTGTCATCCTCATCCACAATGTTACGTAGTCTTGGCAGCCCATTGACAGATACAGCGCTGCGTTGGTCAGCAACGGAGCGGTGAGTCGACGAATCGACATTCGTCGGTCCGCGCCGAAAGGTCTCCGAGGCCCAAGTGACGCAGGCCACAACTGCCATAGAAGTCACAAGTAAAGCAGAAGGAACGCGCATTTTTCCTGCGATGTCAGGGGACCGCAGTGGGGAGTGAGTGCGTTTGGGAATGACTGCAGGACGGGCTCCGTAGAGCCATTCAATCAAGTCGGCAGTCAGTCCAGACGGCAGAGATAGATCCGTTGCAGGCAGCGACCCCATCAACGCTGTCGTGGCCATTGCTTGACGTCTTTCTCTGGTCGGAACCAGATCCCAAATCCGAATGGTTTGCAACGATACGGTCAGCACATCGGCTAGATGCAGCGTTTCTCGTACATTTGAAAGCATGGACTTGCACGACAAGCGCAACGTCTTGCGAAGCCACCTTCGTACGCCGGCATCAACATTTAAGCCTGTCGAAGATCACTATTGACCTCAATTGACCTCGAGAAATGCGTTGCGCCCGTCTTCAGGCAGCACAAGCAATGCATAACGATTCGGGCATAAGACGAGGCATTGAGGTATCAGCTTGGTGGAACAAAGCCTTGCTGTCTTTTGTGTACCGTCTTCAGCTTATCTGTTGGTATACAGATATCCCAAAAACGATTGCACAAATCGCAGAAACGCTCCTCTTGCTTGTCGGGCTCTCTCGACGCAGACAAGCAGCCCCATCTCCAATCTGCAGGCTAGGAGCTTTTACGTTGTGTGTGTCGTTCACATAAGATCGTTGCCTTCTACGTGAGCGTACGATCGAATTGGGAACCGATAACCTCCAGGTGCACATTTCGCCAAATGCAGCCGAACTACATACCGCAGGAGTTGAAACGAGCACGAGCGCAATGTCCTATTGGATGCGTTGCTTTCGAGTCGCCCTTAACAGACGAGAACGCTGCTCAAGTACTTATACGAACTCTGAATGGGCGCGGGCGATAAAGTGCTTTTACGATTGTCGGCTCTTGACGATGAGGTGGCAAAGCTGACGAAGTAGTGTGTAAAACTTACACGACATGGATAAGCTCCCACACGACGGCTCGAACTAGATCAATCACTGATGCTTTGATTCAAAGGACACTGCTTTTACGAGCGAAAAACTGGCAAGCTGTTGGTTCCTTGAGTCTCTTTTTGCAGACTAAGATACGAGCCAGGCAAATAGATTGGGCATCTTATCGTTACTGACTAGATACCACGAGTGTACTGAGCGCTGAAGAGCAGATTTACAAGTTGCGAGTCGGTTGATGGAACCTGCTCGATAAAGCTGCAGTTCCAATGGGGACTGACTACTGCGCGGTGACGATTGGCAGTAGCAGCAAAAGACCAAGTGTTCGATTACGAAGACATTCATGTGCAGTAGCATTATGCGCAGCTTTAGCTGTTGTACCTAAAGTAGTCGGTTCTGCATCTCGTGCTTTATTGACGAGGAGTCAGTGCTGTAGTACTTATGATCACATGCGCATCAACCCGAAAGCTCAATCGGGTAAAAAATGCGCTGGTAGGAACGAATTGGCCGGACCCGCAAAAGTAGATCACTACGTCGGAGCAGTGTGCAAAATGTCATGCACTCGATGATCGACGTTGCGTACTAGAGAATCAAAGGAAGTGGGAAAAATAAAGGCCGGAGCCCCGATGTGTCAAGAGTCGTATGCGTCTCCTTGACGCAGTGCCACGAAAGGTTACTAAACATTGAGAAATGAGAGCGAAAGAAGGTTTGAGAAAGCTGGCGAGAGGGGTGACATAAACATTCGCCGCAATCGGTATGTCGACACCCAAACTAATTCGCTCCACGTGAAGAAGCGCGTATAGTTCCCAATGTTCAGAAACGGCAGCGGTCGGTAACACACGCTTCCTGTGACATTGGGCATCAGAAGAAGCATTGCCTTATCGTCGTAGCGGGTGCACATACTATCGCCTTGGCGGGTGCAATCCGTCAGAAGCAATGGCAGTATGACAATGCATCGAAATTGTCCGATAGCTGTATCGTGGCAGCACGTGCAGTATTGTTATCGTAATTGGCCATCAGTACATTCCATGACAAACACACACGATCGATTACAAACGTTCGTGTGACTGATGCAATTATTGTCACCCCTCCAATGGCACTGAAGTTTAGGTTCTTGCTTTTTATTTGTAAACTATTCCCAATTATTTTAGTGGCTACAATGACATCAACCCCGCACGTCTCGCGATGGCAGCTGTGCCAGCCCGTCGCGACTCCTGTTAGCTCTGCACACTCGTCCAGCTCTTTGCCAACTGTATCTGAAGCTATTGGAAAAGTTTCGCCTTCTGCGCCGCCCGTGTCGCTTCGTTATCTGGATGAATTTGTAGGCAAATTGCACTGTGCTTCTGCTTTATTGCAATACGAATTGTTTCCAGACGCGAAAGAAATCACCGAAGTGCGTTCCATAATTCCGTGACGCAGCGACAATGTCGTGTTTTATTTGGGATGGGGCACGACATGTCATAGATGTGTTAGTCATGTCTGACACGACATGTTTTCCAGAGCATGGCACTGTTTAACACCGTTCGGCGGTATATCGAGCCAGGAGATTGCGAAAAAGATGTAAACGCCGAGCCAGGAAGCAAACACGATGGGATCGTAGTCGTCGGAGATGGAAATACGCGCAAGTAGATGGACATGCATGTTTTTTCGTATACATGACGTTGAAGGGGAGCGCCGGTGGCAAGTTGTTAAGTCTACGGTTTGTTTGTGTGTGTGTGTTTTTTTTGTGTGATGTGATAGCACGAACGGCTGCGTTGTTTGCATTTCGAATGCGAGGATGGACGTGTTATAGTGTGGATCCTGCAATGGAGAAGGAGACGAGTGAGGTGGGGTGGCACATCTTACTTATGATTGTCGACATTGAGGTTAATGAGGAAGTTTGATATGTCAAAGCGGTCGAAGAGGTGGACGGAAATTACAAATCTTGTGGTGGTCCGTAATAAAGTTGAGAACGTGCGGATCGCATTGAGAAGAGCGATTGTGGTGCTCGTGCACGCTCACGTGACGCTGGACCAAGCTTTGAGTGCAATACAAGCTGAGCAGATCTGCGGCGTCGTCACGCTTCCGTGCTGCAACTGGTACGGGCAACAAGAGTCGCTCTTCGGTCGCGGTCCGGACCTCGTGTACGATGACTTCAGTGTGCTTTCGAACCACCGTGAGGTACGTTGCTGCAGGCGTCTACGGTAAACACGCTTGCAGATAGCTTAGCTGATTCTTGTGTGCTTTGTATAGATTCGCTTGTGGATTGGGGACGGTTCTGCATCGAATGGCAGAAGTGCTAAAGCCTCTCGAGCTCACTCAGAGCTCGTGTCGGGCGTCATGAAAGGCTGTGTTCGCAAGGAACTTACGGCTGGCAAGCAAGGCATACGTCGCAGTGGTGCAATCAACGATGAGGATGCTGAGAAGCAAGCAAAGATTCTGGCAAAAAAGCATGATGGAGTGCTCGATCTGATCGGGGATACGCTGGCGGAGCTGACAGGTGATCCTCCTCCACTGAACCGAGAAGAAAGCCTGCCAGACATGCAAGTGGTTGGTGGCATGTCGTCCATCACTCTCGCGTCTTGCCTGAGAAGAGATACTGGTGTGCTCGTGCTCTGTTGGCGTCCACGTCGTGCGGCAGTGCGTTCGCTGCTTGGCGATGGATACACGAACGTATACACCATCTCGTTAGCAGAAGAGAAGTCGGTTCGTGTTACCGACAACGGTAGACGCGGTTTGAACAGTCTGAAGCTGCAGCTCCACAAGTGCACTATTGATGCAGATGTTGATCCTGGTACTGAAGAAGTCCGAGATGGAGGGAGACTCCAGTTGACTTGTTGCGGCTGCTTCACGCTCGAGTCCTCTTTTGCTCTACATTGCGACGAAGAGTGCAACAGCCAGAAAAAGGAAGAGATCACCGTAGCCTTTGATGGTGCAGACTTCCCCGCGCCCCCTTTATCATGCATTGTGGATGCAGGCTTCGTCTACCGAGGCTTTCGCGGTCGTTCAAAGAAGAACCCGATCTTCTTTCGCCGCATATACCGGACACTGGATCACATCTTGGCAGCTTGTGGCCACATTACCAACAATAGAACGAGCCCGTCGCTCGTTTGTCTCACACCGCGCAAGCGCTGGCACAAAAAGGAATTTCTAGCTCACGAGTACGAAGTCCTGTCGCTGGTTGCCAAGGAGCCACGCGAAGGAACGCCTTTGTACGCGTACTGCTGCTTCAAGCGGCATGCAGTGTCGCCAATGGTGCCATGTTTGACAACCGAGTCGAGCAGTAAATGCACCAGCGCCCGAGATACTGCGCTGGAGATATGGACAGAGCTGGAGCAGAAACTTGTCGCTCGAAAGGCTGAGCTGGATGACAAGTTGATTGGCATCGACAGCCCGGACGCACGCACCCAAGCGGCTTCAGCCCAAGAGCGAGCAGATGCTGAAGCTTTGGACACTTTGGCTGGATTTGGAAAAGTTTATGCTCAAGCTACTGGTGAGATCACGCGCGTCCGTCGGTTCAGTAATGGCACAGCATTCGTTTCCCTCGTCTTGACTGGCAGTCGGTGCGATAGACCGTTGCAGCTTTTTCTGCAGCATGAGACACTGGGCTTCTCCATCCCGAAGTTTGTAAAGGTTGCGAGTCTTCTTCGAAAGGGCGATGAGCTGATTGCGGTGGGGTTCCTGGCTCGCAACGCTCGTGGACACTCGATGTTGCAAGTGGAAGCGTTGTCCTTAGCTCGCTCAGGTGAGTTCGAAGCTTACAATTAGGCGCGTGAGTGTGTGTGTGCGTGTGTGTGCTACCAACGACGAACGCAATTCGACAACAGCTAAGGCACGCCAATAACATGATAACGCGTTCTTTGCAAGGAGAGTGTAGTGACGCTACGTCAATAAGCTGTTACGGGCAGAGTCTGCTTACTTGGTCGCTATCGGGTCGCACAGCTCACTGGAGTGCGAGATGCATTTCACCTGTTCAGCAAAACCTGTTGAGCCGTAACGATACTGATCTGCGGGTGAGTTTCGGATGTACTGTGGACGCCGATTTCATCTGACAGCTTTACCTGCAAGCAGCACAGCTTTTGCATCGCTGTGTCCACGGCCCTGTCGCAACAAAGTACTCGAAGAGCGTGCTGACGACACCGCGGCTTACTTAGTAGACACCAGGCCGAGGATCACATGGCTACGAGTATGCAGCTAGGCATTAGATGTACTGCAGGCACGTCTGAGCATAATGTTTCATGTCTGGCTCAGCACGAGCCATCGATTGGCGGTGTAGGACTCTACGTACTGGAAGGGTTTTCTGCTTCCGTGGGTTAGACCCACGACCACTTCGCAGCTTTCACGAGTTGACGCGGTGCCTGGAGCTCGTTCCAACAACTGGTATGGCCCACCCAAAGGGAATCCACCAGCTGTGTCACGACCCGGTGCGATCAAAGCGCATCGATTTGTGCTGGTCCATCTGGCGGGACCCTTCTTGAGACTGGCGAGCTCGCGATCGTTGGACGTGGATTGGTATCGCTCTCAACGAGGGAGTGCGTGGGCATCGCAATGTAACGAGTATTGGGAAAGGGGGTCAAGACGTGGCAATCGGGATGGCGTATCGTCCATAAGGCGGCACGTGCTGTCCACGTAGCACGTGGCAATTCCGTGCTCGAAACCAGCGTGGATGAACATCCTCATGCCAGACTTCTCACACCCAATTCGCACGCGTAAACTTGTAACAACGAGGCGGTCCGACCCCAACCTCCCTTCAATAAGACGCCATAGAAAGAATGTGGTGCTCAACCAACACGGTGCTGCTTTGTTTCCAGTGCGTGACAGTTGCGACAGGAGGCGCGCGGCGGCATTTCTGGCCAGAGAACGCGGCGATCGCACAGGCAACAGAACATCGTTCAAGCGCTACGGTGGGAGCCATCCGAGTCCCCTTTGTTCAAAACAGGAAGAGCGACTGAACGCAGCTGGCACCAGTGGGAGTGTGCGGTCGTCGATTCGGTATACGATCTGTCCAACGCGCTGACCGATGCTGTCCTTCGGCGGATGGCTTTGCCCTTGTGGCCAGCGCGACTGCGTCCGATCGTCGGAAGGACCGAAGTCTGTTCCATTCTTTCGTTCTCGACAAGGCATTGAAAGGGGCACAGAGGCCCACGTGTGTGCGTGCTTTTGACTTGAACATTCGCCAGCGTAACACACACGCGAGTGCCCACGTGAGGGGGCAATACCATCGGCTTGGACAGGCGAAGGCCGTAAACAGGTATCGTCCGGTCAGCAGCGACTGTTTAAAAGCCGAACAACGGATGGACGCGTTGTTTGGAAACTTAGAGCAAAGGTCTGACGTCCAAAGTGAACGACGCTGAGTCCCTGTGGATCCAGTGCGTGAATGAGTGATGTGAGGCAGGACAACCCTTAGGCACATGACCATATCCGAATGCGTGATAGACCGCTTGTGTCTCGCTGCACGCAACAGGCAGTCACTTTTCTTTCCAGTGCCAAGCCCACAAACGATCCACCACGCGGTAGCATGAACAGCCAAGCGCTAGCGACGCGAGTGGAGCGATGCATGAACGCATCAGAGGACTATTTAACGCTCTCGTCGGAAGAAGCGCAGCGGCTGGAAAACTTGGCGGATTACGTGGTGGCCGACACTGTCGCCTACTACGACCGGTTCCGATTCAGCGAAAAGCGCGTCGTCGATCCAAGGAACTGGAAAGACGTTGGCCATCGCGACAACCTGATTGTCTACCGCGAGCGATCGGGTTCGCGACCGACGTACCCCTCGATTCGGTCAATGGACGGAAGTCTGCAACTCATTCCGTGCCGATCGGCACCGTCTGTCAAGATCGTCGGGATGCTCCAGGGCACTTTGGACGACGAGATGTACGGGTCTTTTATCGACAGCGACGACGCCGTGAAGATACGGAGTGTCTATTCAAACGACTCGGCAAAAGACTTTCATTGGCTCGCGACAATCGTGGGGCCGACGCAGGCGAACCCGTTCCGCTTCTGCGGCGTCGCTCGATGCACAATGGGCGTGTCAGTGCCTCTGACCAAAAAACGCGGTGTCTGCGTCGTTGTGTCCATGGGAATGACCACAAATACACGCGGAGAGCGCATGGCGTACTACGTGTCGCATTCCGTGAATTTCGAAGAGTCTGCGACCGACCACGCAAGCATTCGAGCAAAGTGCTCGCTCTGCTGGCTCAAGACGGAGCTACCGAATGGCAAAGTCGAGTTGTACATGAAAGGGTTTGCTGCGCCCATGGGGATCATACCCGAGTTTGCAGCGTTCCCTGTCTTGGTCAATTGCGTCTACGGCATTGCAATGACGAGTGACGCCGCGTACTCCAAGAAGCTCGCGTGGATGATCTATGACGCCGGCAGGTCCGAGCACACGTCTCTCGCTCCACTGATGGATGAGTGCGTCGGACGATGCAAAAACGCGTTCGGGGGCCCAAAAAGCAGTGCCAGCTTCCGACGGTGTCTTGTCTGTCGCAAAGCCATCTGCAGTACATGTCAAATTGCCCGGAACATCGTCGTGGACGTTGAAAATGGACAGGTCAACATGAAAAAGTGTAGTGTATGCATTCTGTGCATGCACCAAGCCAAGTACTACAGTCCGCTGGCTTTTGCTCGACGTGATGTGCGCTTGAAACGGTGGAAAAGCTTTGACGTCGCTCACACGTCGACCACTAGCAGCAGCGGCCACGACGTCGTGCTCATAGCAAGTCCGGACCGTTTCTTCTATAAAACACGTTGATTCCTGTTGCCTACATGTAAGGGTCCATCACGGTGTCGTATAATATATTACGTTCGTGTGTTTGTTCGAGCCCTGATCGGTCTATAACGACCGAGACGAAGTATTGTCATTCAGAAACCACTGCAACAACATGTTGGTCTGCACGACGCCGAGTGAGCGGTGAAGGAGTGGGCTAATGCGTTCATTCGTTCGTTCGTTCATACATCCCATCCCTTGACGTCATTGCACTCGCAGTCGATACTGCATAGTTGACAGACCAGCACAAGTAGTCATTGGCATCCACGTCCTTGCCGGATGTGGTATACGAGCACAAGTGGTGTAGCGCTGCACCTTCTAACTTTTGCTGATGTAGCTCCCCGCTTTGCTGGACTATCGTGGATGTAGGAGGCCGCAATGATGAATGATAAGAGCTAGACCAAAACAGCCTGAAATGACGAGGAAGTACAGTGCACCGTTGTGGGGTCTGCACCTGTTCATGCATACCAGAGAAGATCGAGAAAGAAGAAATGCTAACATATACTAACGAGAGTATCGCGCGAAGCATTTCCAACGAAAGAGGCTATGTATGGAAATTGGTGAAGTGATGTTCGAAGCAAAAGCTCAAGTCACGACTTCAACTGCTAAGACACGTGCCTCAGGCTCCATCGTCAATGTTTGACAGTTCAATGGCGCGAACGATCAAGCTCCATTCCAAACATTGTCAATGCCTAGGTACATGACGCATGTATCACTACATGCGCCAAGAACAACAAGAAAGCAACTTGCCATGCCTTTGACATGGCAAGTGCAAGTTATTTGCCATGCCAAAGTACATAAAGTCCACGTCTGTCGACATTGCTAGCTATGGCAAAAACAGAAATGAGGGCGATGGGATGGTATTCACGTAAGCTTGTTGCCAACGGAATCGGGGCTCGACAGACGCAGCCATTTGTAGTAATCTTCAACGCTAGATCATTCACTGTTATGCAGAAAGTATTGTCACTTCACATTCATCAGCCGTAACTCTTATTGATCGTCCTTTGTTTAGCCGAAGAAATATATAAGTGAAAAGAAAAACATTTGGCACAATGCCTTTAAAATTCAAATTGTACAAATATTGCGTTCGTCGAGCGCATAACTTATACTGTACTGAAAACTATGATGATGTCCGAAAAGAAAAGGGGACTTTGCCCGCGACTTGGTGAGCGCTAAAGAACTTGTGATTTTCTATTGAGCACTTGCATGGCTTCTCAAACGTTCTACAAACGATGTTCGGGTCAGAAAATAATGTGGTAGATTGGCCATATGGTGGATCGGACAAAGCATGAAAAAAGTGGAAATTGTAATAAAGTGCACCATAGAAGGCGCTTGATAACACATTTTCACGTAACATTACGCCATATACCTATAGCTCAAGCGCCGTATGTATGGCATTGGCGAAGCGTTGCGTACAATGCAATCAGATAGAACAAGTGAACAGCAGTGATACTAAACTGGCTGATAAAGGCCGCTAGTGTACAAACAGCCCTCATTGATGTCGAAATGACGACAAGGGCGATCAAAGTGCTTTTGCGTTTGTGCATGTACAATTTGGCTGTCGATCATCTGAGTTCAGAACCATTGAGCAAAGAAAATGAGGATATGACACAGCTGACCAGTGCTTCAATGTCAGGACATCAGCCTTACACGAAGCAGCTTACATGTATATAGTGCTTGTCAAGCGCCCGACTAGATCGAACTGTCCAAAGCATCATTGGCGCCAGGACCATCATAAATCAAAGAGCAAGACGATAATAGCATAACTCACTACTCAGTGCAGGTTTGTTGCTTTACTGATCGGGACAACACGCCAACCGCTATAAAGCATGGGAGCTGTCAGCATTTCAAGCAGCATGTTGTGTATTCACCACAAACGAAGAATCTGATGCTGACGTCGAGAATGACACACTTTCGATATTCGGATTTTTAATTCGATCGTCAGGCTTCTTGTCGAGCCTTTTGCTCGTACTTATGCATCGGCGTACAGTGTTGCAATAGTCTTGTGTCACAGATGCCGCTATGTTTATACAGCGCTTAAGCCGTGCATCCAACTTTTTACAGCTCCTAAGCCATGTCTCTCACTTTTTAACAACAGGCAGCACGCGCCTGTTAGTAGATTGTGCAAGATTCCATATCGATGAAGCATGTGTGATGACAGTAATGTCTTTTGATGATACACATTTTAGTAGATGTGCTTGTGGGGCGATAACACTTACATTGAAGTGTCGATATACTGTAGAATTTGACGTGTCTATAAAGTGCAAAGTGTGTGCATTTGCTGCATACCTTTCGATGGCGACAATGCCTCAATGATGTTAAACCAATTCTCTCCTATTCCAGCTTCATGCGACTACTCGATGGTGCCGAAAGTGTGTGTGTAGTAGTGCGCCAGCACAAGTGGCACTATCCGATCACAATAGACTCGATAAGTCTTTGCGAGATCAGAAGATGCCCATACGCTAAAGTATACATGTTCAACCATCGTGCATTGCTATGCTGTGTGAAAGTCGACGCGAATACGTTTGCTGTAGAATGCTCAAGGTCTTGTTATTGTAGCTCTCTCTACATGTGATACCACCCACCCTATCGTTCTAAATGTGCGACCGTACCTCGTTTGACAGAAACATTCCTTCGTCACATCCAATGCAGCTGCAAATACAAAAATCAGTTCTTGTCTTGATAGACACCAATCTTCAAAAGTCAGACAGTCGCTATCAATGCTTCCAAGTACACTCTGGTGGTACAGTCAAGTTTGTTGCTCATGTTTCTCCATCACAACTATAAGACGTGACATTGCCAACTTGCTTCTATCTTGATCACTCTGCACTCCAGCTCTGGCTTATTCTCCGCTACGCACAGATCCTGTCACTCAGTAAATTTTACACAGGTCTCCGCTGCTTTAGTAAAGAAAAAGCGCCTATGCCAGTTTATAAGTTTCCTGCCTGGGCGCAATGTAGTTCATGTCAGATGTCGAAAATGACAGAACAAACTGGCAAACCACAACTTCACGCGCAATCTTATATCACTACATTATATGGACTGTTGAAGTGCTGTATGTCGCAGATCGAGCATGACGAGCATCGCGTCACTTCGTTTCACTTTTAGCAGCGTTACATATACGAATAGGAAGCGGGTTTGCTTCGCGTCCAAACAACGAGATGCGTAATTGACCAGTTTGATGCTGTTAAGTCTTGATGAACATAAGGAATAGTGAAAGCTTTGTCCAGGTAGGGCTTTTGATGGTCTCATAATTGTCTTGGAACTAGATCTTCTCGTTCCAAATGTCGATCCTCTCAACGCTCTTGCAATCGATCAACAAACTAGCGTTTGCAGCCGTTCACGTTTCGTATCGGAGAATACGATCGCTGGCGACGTGTCTGTACGCCATGTGTTCACACTCACGATTTATGTTGTGAAACGTCCATTTGGGATGAAGTGTAAATGCAGAAGCCTGCGAACGCTTGATATCTCCATCTTATATCTTTCAAAGCATTATCATACGTCAGGCCTTAGTAAGCTCGTGATGCGACATACGTTCCCGATACACATAGCTACTTGTACATAGTGCACGAGAAAATGAGCATGAGCAGAACATGGCAAATAACGAAGAGCATCTCGTCGATGCTCCGCCTACAGCTGTTGTGGTCGTATGTAATATTACGCGAGCTTGCTGAAAATGTTATCTACAGTTTGGCCAATCTCAGCGACTGTTGCGCATTATCAAGAGTAGCCATAACGACTTCCTCAAGCCGTCTACGCCATGGATTGCTAATCGTGTCTCGTCATTACAAAATACAAAACATTGAATAAGTGATAACACAGTGTTGTGTCCTGCAAGCGATGTGATGATCAATGCTATTGTGGCTCGTGCGCTCATCCTTCGGTACTCATGCGAGATACAAGGCAAGCAGCGACAAGGTATGACAATGATGGCGACAAGCAACGGCTAATCATAGTATTGGATACACAGAGCTTGTATTGTGGAACATTGTGTGCTTCGCAGCGCCCACGGTCTAGTAGTCCCCATTTCGTCTGACTCGTGTGAGTCGATAACGTTCTTCGTTTTCACATCACCTTTGACGTCGTTTCTAGACCAAGTTGATGTCTTTGTAAATGCGAACTTATTGCAGATACAAAGCAGCTCGTCAAAAACGTGAGAGTAGTTATTTAGGTACATCAGCGGATCTGAAGTCGAAAGAGATAATGTGTGAATGCACGTGGCGAATTCAACTGGCTTAGCAAACACGTATACTATTGGAACGCGGCATCCGAGATAGTGGAGTCGGGCCTAGAGCCGGCTCATAAAATAAGCTAGAACATTAAAACGGTCAGAGTCCGCGGTAGTTGTACTGTAAGGGATCGTCGGCAGGTTATAGCACAATCATTATAAGCAATTATATGGACGATTTTGCCGCTAGTCTACCTCCATGGGCATTTAGCATATTCACTGACAGTGAATCTACCAATTATTACTGCAAATTATGATCCCATGTCCATATTTCATCAAACAGACACATGCGGGCACGATTATCAATGGAATGAAGAACTTGTATGACTGTACACCGGAATCAGAAATGGACGGAGTGGAGTGCAGGGAACGTCAGGTAACATAAACGATCATGCCACCATCATCTTACCGCAAAGCGAATCGAGAATATTTGCAATGATAAAGCTCCCATATACACTGGACAGCAGCGGTACTGGCAAACGTACGCATTTAAATGCAAACGTCCAAACGTCTTCACCCAGACAGTTGACCAGTCTGCCGGTTTAGGTATGGCCACACATTTGTCGAGTACTTCCAGCCAATCTCTGTTGTCGAACACGACGACCTACGCAATAAGCCAGACGCTTTGCAATGCGAGCGTCCGTTCCATGTAGAAAAGCGGTTATGAACAGGATCACTAATCGAAGGACTAGGTTGGGCAACTTGGGACGGAAGGTAAACTCTCATCGCAGGCATGTGCGGTGGAGGACATACGGGGCTATTCAGTGCAAATTCAATAGGTCCACAGTGAGCGCAAATTGGGTAGACATTCACTCGATCTGATCCCGACCGGCGATATCGGTATCACGGATCGTAAACCGGTTTCCAGCGCGTCAGTTTTGCCAGCAGTCACGTCTAGTTATTCCGCATTTAGGGTTCTACTCGCATCGCGTCAGCATCCCGGACGGCTGCGTGTACCCCTTCTTGAGTACTTAGTGCTCAGACAGTGCCACATATCTTTTGATAAAACTAAGTGTCTGTCGGTCAGTAAGTTTACATGTTCGTGTCCCCGGGCCGCAGCTTCACAGATCTGATTTTTTTCAAAGCTTCTCGACGGGGCCCCAGCGACTCGCACTTTGCATTCGGCGCTCCAGACGTCGAGACTCGCAGCGATCCTCGTCCTCCCCGTCTCATCCATCAGCTCATGATGCCGTCGCTCCTCGTCGTGTCTGCCATGTTGGCCGCCGCTGCCTCTGCTGTTTCGGTGAACATCAAAGTGCACAGCAGCCTCGCCATGAAGTTCCGTGAAGTAACGGTCATCAAGGACAACGCCGTGTGCCCCAATGGCGGCGACGTGCTCATGTGCGAGAGCCTGTCGTACGAGTGTCAGGACGATGGGAAAGGCGGTCGCGCGTGTCTCGAGCGCGACGACTCGTTCCTGGACGCTGTGGACAACAACACGGCGATTTACTGGGCCGAGTGCGGCGTCGTGGACAAGTCGAAGCCGACCAAGTGCCTCCAACCGTTCGATTGTAGCTGCAACGACGATGCCAACTCAAAGTGCTTCTGCAAGCCGCCGGACGCGTGGCGCGCGCACCGAGGCGTTGCCAAGACGTGCGTCACGTCGAAAGGCAAAGAGAACGCGTGTGACTCGGGCAAGTATTGCCGCACTCACGACGACAAACAAGAGTGTGCCCCGATGCCGTATCCCCCCACGCTGACGACGCTCTATAGCGACTGCACGAACGACAAGAAATGCGACGAAGACTTGACGTGCAAGGCGTTCGACTCGTTTTCCATGTGCTTGGAGAACAAGGAGAAGCAGAGCTAGGAGAGAGAGAGAGGGAGAGCTCAAGGAGGGCGGATGGATGGCGGAGAACCGTACCTTGTCGCGTGGAAGTAGCTTCTGTAATCTATCCAGTATCACAGGACAGACTCGTATATGACAGTACAGGAGTCGGCGCGCGATAAAAATATGATTTGAGTTGCTCGAGGTTTTTTCCACATCGTCTTCCTCTCATGCAGTGTGGGCAGATATGCAGTGTGGGGGGCAGTTGGTGGGAGGATCGCGACGTCGTCACTCTGGAGAAGACGCAACCAATATTTCCGTCGTCGTTGTTCTGCACGCGCCCCGTACAGGAGAAGCTCACGCAGCCTCACGTTTCGATCACCGGTGGGTGGGTGAAGCAGTCGCACAATGCGTCATGTGCAGCTCCTGACGTTCGCAGCTGCGCTATCGATCGTCGAGTGTTTGCAGAGGAGTGCTGTGCAGTCGACGACGGGCATCACGCCGTCTTCTGCAGCGCAGCCACACATTAAGTACTACGTCCACGTGGTGCGCGACGGAGAGGGCTGCTCGTTCGCTGGCCCAACGGTCCCCATGTGTGCAAACAAAGACGCTGTCTGCAGGATGCCGCCCGGGCAAAACGCGTTTGCGAAGGACCCGTTGTGCTTACCGTACGACCCGAGCGATATGGAGAGCAATCCGTTCGAGATCGAAGACACGGCGGTCGCTCCGTGGGCCGCGTGCAACGCGGCAGCAGAGCTCCACCGAACCGTCGGGGACCCGCCCGTGTGCAAGCGAAACTTCCAGTGCCTGTGCCTGCACGGACCGGGCGAGAGGTGTGTCTGCGCTCCCGCTGACGCAGTGGGCGATGTCGATGGAGCTCTGACGTGCGATAGTACGACGTCTGCTGCTTGCCGAGAGGATACGTATTGCCGCTATTTGCACGCGGGAGGTATGGGGTGTGGACAGAGGCCGTACTTTACGTGACGCACGAGAGGCTCCGACGTTAGGCGTCGACGAGTGCGACATGTCGCTTTGCTAAGGAGCAAAGAGGTCTCTTTCAGATAGAGCGATCGACAGTCAGCAGTCTGTCTGTGTGTGTGTGTGTGGTGGAATAAGTCCGCTGGCGGTCTATTGACTCGAGTCATAGTCGGGAGCAGAAGAGACGTGCAGGCTAAAGCGCTGTATCGACAGCGTCGCCGAAGGTTTCCTCCTGTCGTGCAACTTGTTGCGCCTCGAAGGGCAACTTGCGACTGACCTGCGCTTCTTGCGTCCCAATGTGCTCGACAAACGTTTGTCTCGTCTGCCTCTCTCTCTCTCTCTCTGCCAACATGAATCGAGTTGGACAAGAAGCACTGATTGCACTTAGTCTCGACTCGTTTGGCTCGGCAGAGAATGGCGCTACCGTCTGAGATTCTGGAGCGACAAGAGCTGGCAATGGCTCGTACTCGTCGATGACGGACTTACGTGCACCCACAAGCGCAGATGTTGCATGCAGCAGCAAATAAAGACGCCGCAGTTTTGTCTTCAACAGCTTTAACACTGCATCGTGTTAACACTTATACAGTGACAAGTTGCCGACACCCCCCCACCCACCCACCCACCGAGCCAATCGAAAGGAAACCTGTGTGTCCTTTGACCATCACTCTGCTCCCATTTATGCTACCCTACCCCTTCCATTTACACAACGTTACCTCAACCAACAAGCACCTTTCCCTTCAAGACACCCACGCGCCTTTCTCGCTCAATCTCAATCTCTCTCTCTCTTTCTCTCTCTCGCGCGCGCGCGTCTCCCTCTGGATCCATTGCGCTCACACGCTCAGCACGTGCGACTTCGCCCTGTTCGTGCTCGCTCCCTCAGTGCTCTGTAGCGACCATCCACGCGACGGCCACGCGACGGCAAAAGAAGCGAAGACGATCCAATGGCGGAGAAATGCCTTCGCAACGCCAGCTGCACGTGCAGTTTATGTACGGGATTCGACGTGGCGTCGCTCCGGAGCATCTCCAAGTCCATTGCGTCGACGATTCAGTACGGAGGCGAAGACGACGTCGAGGGCCAAGCGACCGCAGGCGATACGACGCGCGTGGCGAACCCTCCGACCCGTCCCAAAGCCGCTCCTGTTGCCAGTCCCGTATCGACCACTCATAGTGACGTAAGTACACGCGCCAGTAGCGACGCGCCAGACGTTGTGATGGTGGACGTTGCAGCCGAAACGGCCGTCGAGCACACGTCGCCCCTCGCACGGACGACAGACGACGACGTGCGCATGGACGCGCCTGGGGCTTCGATGCCGCTGGCGACGGCTGCGGCAGACGGTTCAGGACACAGCGCTTCGATGTCGCTGGAGGAGGTGCTGCCGAAGCTGACGGACAAGCTATGGAAAGTGCGGAAAGAAGCGTTTGAAGCGTTGAAAGAGCTGTTTGAGCAGCCGGCGGTTGCGGCGAATCAGGTGCGAGCGGCGGTTGAGCTGTTCCCGAAAATGTGTGAAGATGCCAATGCGAGCGCGTTGGAGGCGGCTTTTGCCGCTGTGCTCGCGTACACTGTGCACGTCGAGCCGTTTGACAAGGACATTGTGCCTGCTGTGATGACCCGTGTGACTGATAAGGGCTTTTCAGCTCGACCGGGGATTGTCAAGATCTGTGAAGAGCTGACCGACGCTTTTGTGGCTGCTGGAGCCGTAGAAGCAACGACAGCGGCTCTTTTGGAAGGAGTGAACAATCGCAAGCCCAAAGTACCACCCGCTTGTCTGTCGTGTCTTCTCGAGGCATTACAAGCGTACGGACCTCGTGTGTTGCCGCTGCAAACGATCAAAGCAGCACTGCCCAAGCTGATGGAAGGACCTGTCAAGGCACGTCCGATCGCTATGAATATCATGGTAGAAGTCTATCGATGGACAGGTCCGGCATTGGTTCAGGATATCGTGGCTAATCTCCGGCCTGCCCAGAAGACTGAGTTCGAGGGACATGTCAAGGATGTTGTTCCCGGTCAAGCGGCACCCACAAAGTTTGTCAAAGGCTCCACACCGGCGAAAGCTACTGCTAACGCTAGTGGAAGAAGTTCCAGTGGCGCAGCAGAAGTGAACGCAGATACACCTGCAGCATTTGATCCTCGTGATTTTGCCGAAACAGTGGACCTACTTGCTAAGCTACCTAAGACTGAGTTTAAGACAAAATTAGCGTTACCAAAGTGGAGTGAAAAGGTGGAGGCACTAAAGATTGTCCTGGAAGTGATTGGTCCCATACCAAAGCTCGCTGACGGCGACTTTTATGAGCTCGTGACAACCTTGAAAGCGCTGGCAAACGATTCGAATGTGAACATTGTGGCTAAGTCGATCGAAGTTTTTGGTGCACTCGCAGACGGCTTACGCAAAAGCTTTACGCAATACGCTCGAATGGTGTTTCCTGAGCTGTTGCGGAAACTATCAGATAAGAAGTCGGTGATTTTGAACGCAGCGAACACGACATTGGATTTGTTTCTGCAGCATGCGATGACACTTGATATGATGCTAGACGATTTGAAACTAGCTTGCGATGCTTCAAAGAATAAATCTCCGCCCGCACGTGTACAAACCATGGCTTTTGTGGCCCGCGCCGTGACAAACCGTAATATCGATTTGAATGACAAGGCACAAATAGTGTCTTTGGGTACGATGTTTCTGAAAGGCGTCGAAGACAGCGATCCTAAAGCGCGCGAGGCAGGCCAAACTTCATTCATTGTGCTTTTGCAGGCATCTGATCAGGCACATAAGTGGTTGCAAAGTATTGTAGATGAAATAGTGCGGAAGCATCCTCGAGCTTACAAGGCGATCCAGCGAGGCTTGGGTGGTGAAGCAGCGTCCACGTCTTCTTCTCGTCCGGACAGTACGAAATCGTTGCGCCCTAGTAGTGCTTCACCGTCTCGTCCCAGCAGTGCAAGCAGTGCTGCTAACCGTTCTAGTTTAGGTGACTCCAAGACATCGGAAGATGCGGATGCAGGCGTGGCTGGCGCAGCTACAGCTGATCCCCGTAGTCCGGCTCCAAAAAAGCGTGGACTGCGTGCGCCACTCGGAATGAGAGCTGCTTCAGCTGGTGGTGCAACTGCAAAAACTGCCCCTCCAAAGAAATCTATTGCGACGGGTTCAAGTGTAGGGGCATCTGCAGACAAGGGTGTCGGCACTGACTTCACGCCAATGGCGATCTCTATATCCGTCGAAGAAGCCGAAGACATCATTGCGGAGCTTCAGTTGGAGACCTGGATTGCTATCAAGGAAGGGTTTGCGAGTTCAAAATGGATGGAGCGCAAAGGAGCGATTGACAAACTCGAGGAATACGCCGGGGCGCACTCTTCAATGATGAGTGTGCGTGTGATTGAGGCGTTTACGATGTATTTGGCAAAACAAGTGAAGGAATTTAAGGATAGCAATATCAACGTGCTGAAGAGTTCATTTGAGGCAGTAGGGACGTTTGCGAAGACGGCTGCCGGCAAGTTTCCTCGCGGAGTTGTTTGTCTTGTTACTCCTCGTGCTTGTGATAAGATTGGCGATCGAAAAGCGAGTGAGGCTGTTCGCAGTATGATTTTGCAGTTTTGTGAAGTGACTAGCCCGTCATACACGTTGGGGTGTGTTATTGACCATATGCCGAAGGTTCGATTACCACTAGCACATATCGAGGCTCTTTCAGTTTTGTCGGACTGCGTTAACGACTTTGGTATCTCTCTGTGCAACCCTCGTACACTAATCGGGTATGCAAAAGGTCCACAGGGGCTAGAGTCATCAAACCCCAAGGTCCGCAGTGCCGCTATTGGGCTTCTCAGTGTTATGTATTCGCAACTGGGACCGCCACTGCTTTCAATCCTTAACCTGGACACATGGAAACCGGCATTGGCAGAGACCGTGAAAAATGAATTCAAAAAGACAGGTTATGATTCAGCGAAAGCCTTGGCAAGTGTGAAGCGTCATGTTAAAGACCACGACGAATCCATGTCGACTGCAGCGGACTCCGGCGCACTATTTGGTCGCGTTGATGTCAGCAGTCACTTCACAAAAGAGCTGTTTGAGTCTATGAAGAACGAGTCCGACAAGGGTGCATGGAAGAAACGTGGGGAGGCTATGGACACCGTCCAAGCGATTTGTGAGGGTGCTGGTTGCGCAATTGAGTTCACTCGGTCTGTGCAAGAAGTGCTTCGTAGTCTGAGAGCTCGTCTGAACGACTCGAACGCGAACATGAAGGTGAAAGCCGCAAACGTTATTGCAGTCGTTGCGGCAAGTGTTGGATCTGATATTGCGAAGATGTCAAAGATACTTGGTGCAAGCTTGATTGCGGGGGTTGCTGACAACAAAAAGACGATGCAATCTGCTGCGATTCAAGCCCTACACAAATGGGTATGCCACAACGGCAAGACTTCTTCTTCCTGTATGGAAAGTCTTCTTCCATCTCTGTCAGAGGGTCTTTTGAACACCGTTGGACGAGCAGAATTGCTGAAGTGGGCAGTAGAGCATCTTAGCAAATGCGCGAAACTCGATTTACATTGTTTAGTTGTTCCAACTGTTCAGTGTTTGATGGACAAGTCTTCCGACGCGCGCGAGAAGGCTCAATTGCTGCTCGTTGAAGTGATGAAGTCTGTGGGCAAAGAAACCGTGCTTACAACTGGATGTCGTGACATCCAGCCTGCCGCCATGCGAGCTTTGAAACCTTTGCTTGCAAAAGTGTGTGAATTAGCAGAAGCGAGTGGTGACGCAAACGCATCTCATCGATCAGGTTTGCTCTCAGGACCTTGCACAACGCCTACGCAAGCTCCCGTATCTTTGGTTGCTGCTGGTCAGGAAACAAATGGCCCAGAGAATGTGCACGGTGGAACTCGTAGAAGGGCGAGCACATCAACTGGATGTGTTACCCCTGTGAAGTCACGCATCGCTCGTCCTGGTACATCGAAAATTATCACAACGTCGTCGTCGGCTACTTGTGAGAACGCTGATACGGATGCTGCACCATTACTAAGGATGAGCACAACCAAGAATGCGAGGATAAGTAAGGGGCTTTACAATCATTGGGTCTTTGAGACCACTTCGATAAGTGAGATGAATGCGCGCAAAAGTGAAATCAACGCCGAGTGGAAGCCTTTTCTGTCGCCGGACTTCCATGCGAAGCTCTTTGCTCCGTCATTGGAAAAAGGAATGCTCAGTGCTATGGATGGGATATCGTCTTGCATTGTGCACCAAGCTGCTGAGGTGATCGCGTCACTTGACCTCATCTTGAAGTGGTGCACCCTTCGCATTGTAGACAATAATGTCCAGGCCCTGGCTAAGCTGTTGGAGGTCTTGATCAAGTTGTTTGGTATGCTAAAAGACAGAGGGTATCAGCTGGACGACGTTGAAGCTGCAATATTCCTTCCATATTTGCTGCAAGAGAGTGGACAGTCAAAGCCGCGTTTTCGCGTCCGCTTCCGCGATGTAATGAAGCTGGTTGTCGATGTGTATAGCCCTGAAAAGTATGTCTCCTTTCTGGTGGAATGCATCAATAGCTCCAAGAATATGAAGAGCCGCTGTGAGTGCGTTGATCTAGTGGAGTACATCGTGAGTGTGCATGGGTACCAAGTTGTCGGCCGCAAATGCATCAGAGACGTGGGTAAGTACGTCGTGGCTCACGAGAAGGAACTTCGTGAGAGTGCCATTAACGCGCTCGTATCCGTCTACGTGCGGACCGATAAAGAGAATCCGGACAAGTTCTTTCGATACGCTGGTATTACGACGCAACAAGGCATCGATTTACTAAGAGCGCGTTTGAGACACTTGCCAGCGAGTTGTATACCACCTGAAGCTGAAGCAGCTCCTGCAGCGAAATCGACGTCAGAACAAGAGGGACAACGACCTCAGCTTGCTCAACGGAAAGGGTTTGGCTTTGGCTTTGGGCGTGCATCGAATGCCGCGGCTGCTGCACCGGCGCCTAGTTGTGGCGATAGCGTACAGGTGTCACCTGCTGCGCTCTCTTCCATATCCGAAGTGAAGCACTTCTCCGATGATACTGGCGATGGCGATGTCGAAATGACCGTGTCGAACGCGGAGATTGCAGAAGAAACTTCACCTGGTGCGGCGATTGAGGAGTTATTGTTACGTCCGATCGAGATGCTGATCGATTCATCGAAGGAAATTGTTCCCGCTGGCACACCAGCGTATAAGGAAGGTGGGAACGCACTGAAGGGTCTGTATGCAATTATTAACCGTCCTTCGGATCCGTCGGAGGTTGAGTTCTTGCACTCGTACGTGAACGAGATTGTTTTGGCTCTGTGTGACTGTATACATGGATCGTTCTACGCTGGCAACGCAGAAAAGAGGCCCGAGATGTACATTCTGGCAATAAGCATCACGACACTGACGATCGTTTTTAACAGTGAGGCTGTCACAAGTATGCAGCGTTACACAGTGGAACGTGTACTGTTGGAACTGTGCTCGAAAATAATGGACCCACGTTTGGAGAAGTTTTCCCAGAATGCAAACTTGCCAGTAAGTGAACTAAGGCTGACCCCGGAAGAAAATCGCTACCTGATGGTGTACAAGGCGCTGTATAAGGCGATGCGCAAGCTGACTGAAAGGGCCAAGCCTGGCGATGTGTACCCGTCGGTGATTAATCTTCTGCAGCGGCTTATGCACAACGATGTCGGTGAGTACAACAAGAACGACACTTTGAAGCATTTGCTGAAGGAAGATTCGCTGGATCAACTCGTCGGGCGTATCCTGCTGAAGCTATCAAACATTCAAGCAAACGCACTGGCTCCGTTCGAGGGTATCGACATCTTTGGCATTCTCATGCAAATGCACGGTTTCTTCTCGACTCTTCCTCGAGCCGGAGTGATGATGGTGGATATCGCAAATGACAATATGCAGTCGGCATTGAAAATTATCGCTGAAAGCTTGACGAAGACACGACCGGGCGCTTTTGAGGCATCTATGAAAGACATACCGTCCACGTCTCTTGTGCATCAGATTTTACAAGAAATGGGATACAGTCAAGAGCGACAACAATTTGCTGCCGAGCCGTCTGGATTGCATTCTGAAGAACGCGATAACTGTCACGCATCAGCTGCACCCCATGCCATGAAGGACTTTGATGGCGCCACCGCCAGTGGTGATCCGGCTACAACGGAGGCAGTCAGACGTTCAATTTCGGTAGGAAACACTGGTCTTGCGCCACGAGTACCGCGGACGGCATTCGCGGCGCCACCACGGGTTGGGAGTATTCCCGTAGCGACCCGCGGGCGCAGTTTTACGTCATTCCATGACTTCGCTGCCACTCGTGGCGCAGCAGGCAGTGCGGCTCGTCCGTCGACAACTAGTGAACAGCTCGAGAACCTGCGGGAGCGACTGCAGATGTCCCGTCATTTCAGCTGATGTTTGCCATGCGTTGCTGGGCGCTATGAAACCATGTAGAATGAGGCTCTGGCGCTGGGCAATCATCTTGGTGCAGTCCGCATTGTCCAGCTGTGGAATGTCACTCTTGGAACACCGAGCAGGTTTTGCAGTATTTGTGGATAAAAACGTGCAGCACGAATCTTGCCGTGGAGCGTAGCGGTAACGCCTTGACATAGTAGAGCGATCGCACACTGTGGTCGCGATGTTGTCCATTTCCAGAAGCTGATGCGCTTCTACTCACCGGGCATGGCCGTACGTGTTCAGGGTGCTGCCAATCTTTTCGCAAACCGGTCGCCTGCATCTATGTCTCATTTGTATATTCTTCGAACTTTGCAACCACAAGAAACTGGTCAAGCTTGATAAAGGCCTACAATACGGCTTTTCGTTCGAGGCAAATACCTGAGTGAAAACGAAGACGCAAAAGCGCCATGGAGCAAGGACCTTACGCGCTTCATCGAGTCCAGACCCTGTCGTTTTTGAAACACCCACCCGCTGTCACAGCTGCCACTCTGCGCGCACAACGACGTGACTGATTAGAACGCGCTAACATGAGATCATAGGAACGATGAAAGGTGCTTTGCCGTTTGTGAAAACTGATCGTCGTAGGTTGATGCTAAGTGGCATGGCTGCGTTTTACTAACAATGATTGCTTTACTGTAAACACGAGTGTGTCTAACTGTTGCAGCGAGTGTTCGCAACTACGCAGTTGAAGAGCTGATCATGCCCGCTTTACTATCTTGCGAATTGCCTGCGTCCACCCACCTAACCGAGAAGTCATACGTGTGCGAATGCTTTGCCTTCAGTATGACTGCTACTTGGAAACCGACACAGTGGCAAGACGGCACGGCTACATGATAAGCTTGTATCTGTGTAAAAATGAATGGGGAGCGCAGGCTAGTCATTTGTACTCACGCACGTACTCATGTTTGTGTGAAAGTGCTTTGGACCGAAGAAAAATGCAGCTATGTTCAGCTAATGGATCACAATTCCTTTGGGAGAAGCCGTTGCGAAAACAAGCGTCAACATCACGACAAAATGGCCTTTCCGTGCCAAAGTAGAGCTTGACGCGTCGTATTGCCACACATTTTTACTGGTTTGTGACAGGGCATCGGAATTGTGGTATGGCGCACGAAAAGATAGCATGTTGACAACATAAGTGTACCTTTCAACTTACGCAATCCAAGTTGCCAGTATGTAAGTTAGTGTCATGCGATGGGGTGCTCCTGATTAGATGTGTGCAACAAATTGCAGATCTAGCGAAAGCACCACGTTGAAGGTCTGATTAGGAGAAGTAACGCGGGGCACTTGATCGCATTGCGTTGATCATTCAAGAAGCTTATCGTTGCAAGCAACTGGATGGGATGATGGTCGTTATTCTGCCGGCAAACACTGGGATAGCCCAGCACATGTAGAGATCCGCTGATTGGCCAGGTTCGACCAATAACTAGCAATCCAAACATCTTCGCACCCACTAGGAACAATGTTCACACTTCGTCAAATCGGTCGGTACCTATACAGCGGTCATCGTAGATTAGCTAATGTAACACATTCATTCGACAAAGCGATTCTATTGTCGTATACAAAGCGGATGCGCATGTTCCTTCTAGAATCAGTACGCTCAACACACTACACGTAAACCATACCACCCCTGCCTTCAATCTTATGTTTGATCCTCAAACTCTTGCGTTGCGTCTTTGTTACTACATTGCCCTAGCTGATACAGTCGATACTCTTCCTTGTGAAGCTGCTCACGCTGAGAAATTTCATGTCTACACGCTATGGAGTAAAGTCAAAAGTCAATGAAGAAAGCTGTCTTGCTTGTTGTGGCCATGTTAAAACACACGAATGAAGTTCAAGGTGTTCGTAGAACAAGCAACTGACGTCGTAGGGATTCATGATGCAACATTGTTCGCAAAAGTATAGGAGAGGAACGATGCTAGAAGATGTGTGAAAGTGTGCCAATTACAACTATGAGCGCACAGCAAATGTTGCAGCAGTTCCATAGAGAAAGCTAGCTAATCCGCAGCAGCAGGTGCATTGTCTATGAACGAGTAGTGTACAGCCGCGCCTCGTTCCGTTTTCTTCAAGCAAAAGTGGAAGCTGCTTGGCAATGGATCGAAGTGCATGGACTTAGTCCAGAAGAGTCATGGGACCCACTTGTAGAAACGGAGTTCTGGAGGTCTTGCTTGATGGCTTGGGTACAAAGAATGTGACAAAACGGATCTACCTACGGAGAAGTAGGAGCTTGCAGCCTTTTTTTCTCGCGAAGTACCATGCCTGGCAGTGATGAGAGACAAGCCATCAACATGATTCTTCTCATGGACCATAAATGCAAAACCTATGCCTAAACCGTGCCAGGTCCGAAATTCGCAAAACATTTTTTTGTTGCCTTCTTGTGCATAGGCTACACCTCGTGCCTTTGACATGTAAGTTCCTAAGATGTTGATGCTGAGTATGATGGAAGTCCCTGCAACCAAGTATCCAATCCCCCTTGCTTTGTTTCGCCCGGCGCGAAACAGATGCAGTATACCTCAGGTCGCTGAATTAGATCTAGCCGTGACACACAAATATGAGATTGAGATGGCGTTGCTACTAACACCGCTCAAGATTGTATACTATTATTGCCTTATGGCAGCTGTGTCTACTGCAACGTTGAACGCGGCGTGCTTATTGCGCCCTGTGATTTACCATCACTATGTGATGGCTAAGCTGAGGTCGCAATTTACATCCAACAACAGTTGAATCGATTTTTGCCTTACGTAAACTCATGTGCTGGTCAACCACTAAGAGAGGGTTCGTGATTCTGCCGGCCCTCTACATATGGGGAAATGGCCAATGGCCCGCAGCGAAGTTCACCGGAGGATACAGGACTCGAATGGAATGGAAGCAGAGCTGTTTCGGGCCTGACAACTGAGCTTGGAATAAACGCAATACATCGCAATGAGCTCACCAAAGCGACGTCAAGACATTGTGTGCTCTATATCACACACATATATATGCGAGCGGACGTTTTGGGTGTAACAATGAGAGCTCTTGTCGATGAAGTTCATGTCATTCAAATACAGTGAGCAATTGACAGTCGTTCTTGCGGTGATCGACTTTGGAACAGTACATATGACCAGGCAAGCTTTGCCGATACTACAACTGATACAAGCACGACGAAGCAGCATGTTCATGAATAATCGGCCATATAAAGCCTGAATGAACCATACACCATCCGCACACTCTGACTCTGTTTTGTATCTGGATCGGGTCTACTGAAACAAGCCGTAAGCGTGCGCATGAGAAGACTGCAGAAGCATTTATACGACAAAACTCTGTGTTTCCATGGCGCGATGACCTGTGTTGCCGACTTGCACGGAATGTGTTTCTGCTAATCAATGTGCAATTTCTTAACTAAGTCACACGCATCGTATACACAAATTGAGCACAAATCAGCTCTTAAACGAAACAATCGTTTGCTCACCAAGAAGTAGACAAGAACGCGCTTCGATGCATGTGTACGAATCCTAGCAGTCAAGTACATGAACAAACGCGCGCTGCTACAGACTAGCTTGTCCGATGCTGCTGCTGCTCCAATAGTAGTGTTAAGGCTGATGAAGAGCATGTCATGGCTCGTATAATGCGAGAAAGGTAAGCGCAAGAGAGAGTCGAAAAATAGTTACCTATGAGCTCAGCTCATGTTGAAAAGTAAATAGTGATACAAGTGGACGGCAGAAGCGAATGGATATTCTTTTGTAGACACACATAGAATGTCGTCGAGTTTACGATTGAGGCAGCAGGTTGTGCGGTGAGGTGAATTTTTACTTGGCCGATACCGATCTCTGTACAGATCGCGCTGCGATGAGGCTACGTATAGCTTTGAGGCATACAACATACATATTTATCGGCAGTGGATAATGCTACGCAATCGAGGTGAAATCAGCAAAAGCTGGCGGGTTTTACAAGCCATTGTTTTGTTAAGCTAAATGGAGTAGGGCTTGTTGTAAAGACTTTGCTTGTTAGTTTGAATTGCGTGCGCCTGGCATGGTCGCAATGCAATTGTCTACAGCTTTGATCTTAGCCTTGAGGCGCCGAATACGCTCAGCAAAAGGGTACTTGTCTGCAAGCTGCCGACGTAACTGTGTAGAAAAAGAAAGGTGGTCAGCCCTCCCGAGCTGTCCAACATACCCTTGAGCGCCTTCAATCTCGAGGGTCGCTGCATATGGAGATTGGCCGATCGTGTTTGCGTACACTTCTGCGTTCTCAGCAGTATCAAAGATCATGAGATCTTTGAGGATGGACTTCACGATAGTGTTTTTAAGTGGCTGATAGCCCTCAACCATGGTGACGAGGTCAAAAGCGTAGCCCACAAAGCCTGGTGTGTTCACAGGAGGAGTGTTGACCCCCGGCCATAGAGGATTATCAATAGGCACGAAAGTGATCGGCCCAATGTAGCTGGACCGCTTACGAAACTTCATCACGTGACCCGGTGTGGCTACCAACACTGTACTGAGTGCACTCTGTCGCTTTTGAGCCACAGCGCGGGCAACTGATCGATCGCGAAACTCAAGGATGTCGCAGAACATGGCCACGAATCCATGCTGGTCTGTACGCTTACAATAGTGCTCGAGTATTTCATGCGTGGGGCGTACAGCATGCGCATGTGCAAGTTCTTGGTCCAGCTCGTATCGTAGCAAACCGAGATACGACTGGAAAGACGAGGATGTGATGATCGTCTTGTCAAAGACTCGTCTCTCGTTGATCAGCGTTTGATAGATGACCTCTCGATGTTGCTGGATAAACACGTGCCAAGCTGTGCTGACCCCTTGGACGCGGGACAACGACTCGCCATCGAGAAAAGACAGGACAAGGAATGTGACCTCGTCAATCGGCAAATCTTGAAGACACCTCTTGGAATCGGCAACGAGCGTGGCGGCTTTCCTTGGCGTTGATGCCACCTCAAAGTCCTTCGGTGGGCACTGGACAAACGTCGAGCGAAAATGGGAGACTGAAGAGACTGCAGCGTTGGAAAAGGTGGTCTCCCGTGAAGACGTTGCTAAAGTCGAGGAAAGCACACTTAGGTGCTCGCTCACACTTTGCTGCATTCGAGAAGCACCACTTTGCACCAGACCAAGGAGATCGAGCACCGAAGCTCGGGCCATGGTTACTGGAGACTATCGGGAAGCGGCGAATCGAGAAGTGACAGGAACCTGATGAGTATTTTGGACGCAAATATGTGGCCGCTCATTCACACGATTTGACCTGGCATCTTGTGATTGGTGAACTTGTAGAACGCCTCGGGGGATGGTCATACGCTGGGTTTTAGGCGAACTCTCCGTCTGTCTACAGATGTATGCTATGTATATGGCCGCATGGACCGTTGTTCAGCTACAGAGAAATGAAGTGCGGATTTTGCGCCGTGAAAGCCGCCGCATGTTGCTTTTTGTACAACGACACGCGACATGGCAATAGTGTACGTGAAGAGAACGCCGCCTGCCTTACAGATATATAGGGATTGGGGCATTTCGAGTGCCAATATCGATTGACGAAGCCTTTTTGCTGCGGATGATGGTATCGAGCGACTGATCGTGAATAAGTAGGATGTCAATTGCGATGTAGTCTATAGCTGTAGAAGCTTGAAGTGGCCAGGTGGACCTCAAAATTGTCAGCGACTTTACGTACTGAGCGGAACAACGCAGCAAGTCAATTATCGCGTCATTTGTAGCATTGTTAGGTCGACGTATACGAGCAGGCGACTTCGCCAGTGGACTATTTGGAAGAACAATGTTGTTTGATATACGAAGGGAGAGACGGGGGTCAGTCAATGAAGGAGCTAGCTTCTACACTTTGTAATGCTTCTGTAGCCTTTACTAGCTGCACAGCTAATAAAGACCAACGATGCACTGATGCCCCGGTGGGTCGAAAGAGTCAACGTGCGGGCACGTGCCACTACTTATTACACCCCGTAGTTTGTAGCCATTGCAACAGTGTTAATCGTGGCGAGCTACTTGGTCCTCCGTTGGCGTGCGTTTGGTTTACGAATCAAGAAGCGGCGAAGTGGCTGGTAGAGGACTCATTGGCTTTTCGCAAATACAACGCAATGATACCAAAATATAAATGTAGCGATGGCATGTGCTCCCATATCTACATGCCTTGTACGACTCACTATTTATACGACGATCGTAGATGTTGTACCGTTTTTGGTATTGGTATAACATCTACGATCGTCGTATGAATAGCGTGTCATACAAGCTGTCACTCACGCAAAATGCTACTTTAGTCAAATTTCTTTTTCTACTTCTGGCAACTTTGCAAACGACAGAAAGTAGCTCTTGTTATGCGGAGGCGCGCAAATTTTCTTACCTTTATTGTCAATGTATTGTATTGGTAATTTCTTCCCATTTGTACTACCGTAAATAGAACTCTTGATACTTGCTTGATTCAGTCCCTAACGTCCACAGCATTTTCGCACTTTGTCACGCTAGTTTTACAATCAACAGTTGCACATGTTTTCAGAGCTCATGAAAAGGAATACGTGAGCGGCACGCGGCCGGCGCTATATTCTGTGCCCGTATGGCACCGAATGCCGCTGGATCATTATGGTTTGGAAACTCAAATAATCCCCATAGTGCGGAGCTTACCAGGACCATCAAGGTAGAGGGTGGTCTGCGTGACACCAATTGCAATAAAAAAGGCCACGGTGCTGACATTTTCTCATGTTTACCTAACTGGTCCATTCATACCCATCAGAAGGTGGTTGAGACCCGCTATAACCAGATTTGTTGTACCATCACCTTGACTCATATCTGAATCAAATACTTGTAAAGACTACAAATATGTTACGTACAGTCGGTAGCGCCAACATCGATACATTTGACGTAAAGTTCGTCATCGTATCTCGTCCATGCTCCCAACCGTTTTGCACCTCATCCATTGTTTTCATGGCTCCCCACTCGATACATCACGTTTATAATCAATCATGGTGCGTTTCGTTCACCCTCGACGATGTCACTTTCTGATTCCGCGCGTACCAAGATCACGTACTTTCGTAACAGTTAGATATAACTTGCAATTTTTTCAACAGGCTAGGAAGATGGATGATGAAGGCAAACGTTTTCTTCATCATATGATGAATAGTAGAGTGCGTAAATGTGCACTGATGTAAGGACGTGCTACAAGTAGTAGATCAGCGCTGATTTGTACAGTCAAGACTAGTTATGCATATCTTCGCGCGACGATTGCGGTATCGATAGTGGCGCGTCATGTTTGAAATCGTAAATGGTGAAATATGACGGCTTTTGTCCCCGTGTATTGTCGACATCAGAATCAGTCGTCCAATCTGGAAAAGAGTAAACTAATGGCTCTGATAAATTTTCCACCAATCTTTTACAAATATACGATCGAAGTGTTTGCTATAAACAATACATCGTTAAGCGATGTGAGGGTGATGCAAAGCACGACGCATATGCCGGCTTGCACAAGTGTACAGACCATATGTGTGTGCGTCAGATTACTATTATACAAGGTAATCGTCGGGTTCCCGTGCAGATGTCTCTCGTTTGCTAGCGCATTATAGACAGGTCCAATGTTACTGACGGGGCCGACAACATACTAACAAGTCGAACAATAGCATTCCTGAGTGCACAAAAAGTGCTGGCGTGTTGCTGACGCCGACACGGTAGTGTTATATACCTGTCAGGCGTGTAAGCGGCGTTTGATGATAGCTCCGAGATAATTGGCGCTCATGTTCAAAACTGCGTATGATTTATGCATGAGATATCAGTAATTTTGTTATGCATACGGCTTGCTTAACTACTTCACTGATGCTTTACTACAACTTACGACGTCGCCATCTTCGGGCGTCCGAAACCGGGCGCAACCTTTGTAGCTATCATTACCTACTTAATAACGCATCCGCTCGATATCGAGACGAGATGGAGCGATCTGCATTTTTCATTCGAGCCAGTACTGATAAATCGCTGGGCAGAATCCTCTTTTTGACGATGTCGACTCGTGGCAAGTACCTGCAAATGGTCATGGACATTAAAATATGAAGTGATCGAAAGGATTGGCTTCTAGGTGTACACCTCATACCAGCTTTTGTCCGCCGTGCGGGCCTTATCCTCGCTAGCAGTTGAATTACAAGCTGTTGATATTGACACATTCATGTCATCGCAACCTTCTTCATATAAAGTGGAGTCGCCAATTTGCGCAAACAAGGTCGACATACAAAACAGGCTTCGCTAGCGAGGGAATTGATGCCGTTGTACATGCATATAATTATGGCTTCCGAATAGACCGTGAGGTTGTAGAAAAGCTCTTTCATTCTGCAACTTTCCAGAGCCCACATGTAAGCAGTCGTGCTCCCGTAAGACGAAGTACGCTATCGAACTACACCAGTAAGCCTATCACAAAAAAGGTAGCTGTCATCGCTATACTAATCGTCAGAAATCGCCTTGGTGACCAGGTATGCTCTTCTTCTTGGTGCGTCGATATCATTGAGCATCGCGACCGCGATGTCCGAAATTGTATGAGGGGCGATCAATTGCGCTTTGCAACAAGCATCACAAGTAGAATATACTCATTTCAGATTTTTCCTCAGTTGACGTATACCTTTCGTGGTAAAATGCGGTCTTGCTGAGTGAAAGCATCTTTGGCAGCTGACAGAGACCGAGGAGGCCAGCAAGACATCGAGTTTAAACTTTGCGATGCGGTCTATCGAGCTTATGTTTCCTGCGACACCACATTGTGTGCGGGCTTATTCTCATCAACACGTCAGTCATACGCACACATTCCGTGTAGACCTTGCTTGCTGCTACACTGTTACGAAGAAACTGATCCTTGACGTAGCATGTTGTCAACAAACATAGTGTCAAATTTATTTTTGATTTATTCTAAGGGCGAATGCACCAAAAAGACAAGATTTACTTAAAAAGGAGAAGGCTACTTGGAAAACACGTTAGAGTAGGAAGCCACAATCTGTTCGATCTGGTACATCTCGTCGTCCCCCAGACGACGGTAGAGTTCATCAAAGACACTGCTTGGCGTCTTTTTCTTAAACAGCCAAGCTGAATACAAACCATTCTCAAGGTCGTTGACGTTGTGGCCCATTGTCTTTGCTTGGGAAAGCCAAAGTGCAAGGAGGAGGTCATCGTTTATCGTTACCCGTATAGTCGTAAACACATCCACGACATTCCAAGGAGAAAGCGCCTTTTTGTTGAACAAGCCGAAACGAGTATCTGTCGGTCCCTCGGTTTTCCAAGAAGAAAGCGCCTTCTTGTTATGCAAGCCGATGTATGTGTTCATCGTATCGACAATGGTGTACGACAATCTCTTCTCCTTCTCTAGGTTGGCGTTGGTGGCGATCTTCATTTGTTGGTAAACTTCATCGAAGGATTTTTCCTTCTCTACCCAGCCCTGCAGTAGCTGCGTTTGAACCGTTCTTGCAAGAAGCGAGTCGCCGGGATCCTCCTTCGCAAATGACAGCACGATGGCAAGACTAGACTCGTCGTCATTGTAGCCTCTCAACAACACTTGTAGTAGCGTGTCCTTCGATCCCGTATTCTTCGTTTTGAATTTAGTGATGAAAAGCTGCATAGTGAGAAGGTCTGATTCCCTGAGGACGTCGAACCCACCCTTATCCTGCCGTAGAAGCGAGAGCACCTTGTCGGGGGAATACCCCGCTGACATCCAAAAATTCATTTTTGCGACCCTCTCTTTAGCCACCTTCTCCGTGGCCTCCTGAATCTTCTTTGCGGCCAGCTCTTGCTCATACAGTTCGACCGGGCTTTTGCTGGCAACTTGACGTGCTTGTCTTGACTTCTTGTTTCTTTTCAAGCCTTCAAGCACCACAGGACCTTCTTCTGCCGCGGGTTTGGCGGCGAGCCCAGGAACTTGACCAGTCGCTCTACCTCTTAAGCTGCTAAGGTAATCGACAAGGACTTGATGCTTGCGAGCTCCTCTTAAATCACTCAGCAGAGTTCCTTTGGCTTTTATGCCCAAGTCAGTTAGCAGTGTTGTTGCCAGAATGGTGGACGCCCGGTCTTCGTCATCCATGGCGTCGTACGTTTGCGGTAGCCGCTTGACACGATTGGCGCTGTCAGTCTCAGCTTCGGGCCGAGCTCCAGCCGAATGATGGACATCCGATGCCCCAGAGCTGGAGCCGCACACCAAGACTGCTGCAGAAATGAGGAGTATCGAAGACGAGAGGCGCATCTCGATGTAACCCGTGATGATTGAAAAGGATGCGGCAGATTTAGGGTCGATTTTGAAATGGCCGACAGGTGGGATTCAGCAGAGTCGGTTTATCGATAGTGGTGCCAGCGGAATGAGGGAAGGAGCTGTATCGCCAATCACGGTATCCAGTGGCTTGCGTGCGGCCTTCACCGCAGTGCCGAATCTCAAAACCATGGTCCACCTCAAGACCAGCATCACGCAGCGCTTTTGTACTTGAGCGTAATGTCAGGTTATCCAGCTCTGTCGCGTACAAGGGTCCTGCAATATGTGACTGCTCTTTGATGGTCGTCGCACGCCAGCGATTCGTTGAGCCATGTATACTGGTCCCGTGTTTACTTTCCGCTTGTCGTAGCTGTACCTCATACTTTGTATTTCTAGCTACACATGACATTTGGTGTGTAGAATACGAACCCGTGGCGCGAGTTTCGATATCATCGCACTATTCATCTGTTCTCGTCGAGCATCTCAATCGCGATTTGCGAGACATTTCGATCGATTTTTAAGAGACAATCTCGCTCGCTGGTCGTGCTGGCTTCTTCTGGATTGTGTAGCCGTGCACCTCTATGGCCATTGCGACAAGTCCCATAAATGTATCATACGACAAAATTCTATGGTAACAAGCGCAAACGCGGATCAGGAGTTGCTAGCAGGTGTATTATGAGAAGCAACAGTACACTACAACAAACTATCGTTGCAATCGCCCAGCTTTTTCTGCACCCTGCTCAGAAGTGTGGGGGCTTGTCGCAATATGCGTGCGATGCACTGCCGGGACACTGTGCAGAGGTCCAGCCAGTACATTTACGAGTCGGTGCATGACTATGCTAAATCATCGAACGGAGGTTGTGTATTCATAATTTTTTGTGCACTTACTTACATAACTTGTATCATCTCAATCGACCAAAAGCGGATAGTTGCAAACGAAAGGAACATCAACACTCCATTGCGCAAACAACAACCCCGAACAAGGAACGCATCGACCCCCAACTAGTTAATCTCCAGGGATGCTGACAAGGCGCGATGAAATTACCGTGTTATGAGGCTTTGGTGTGAGCGTAGGAGATCCCTACTGTACAGGGTACCACCGTATAAGTTGCGTCTAGCACAAGGTATATATCAACTCGGCTCGGCCTCTTCTTTGCTACAATTAACTTCCGTTGCGCTCTTTCCATATTGGGCGATTCGCTCCCACATGCAAAGCAGCTAGCCTATGGAATGATCTCGCCTCTTCATCGCTGGCCCCTCTTCCTCCGTGGTCGGCCTACAGACCTTTCCATTTCTCATCCCTATGGTCAAATTCTCTTGTTTCCTTCTGCGCCATGTGAAAATAGGCTTCTTTAGACCCAGTGGTCAGGAGCATATTATAGCACGCACGTTTCCTGCAGGTGTTTCCGAGTAGTTTCAACACGTAAAAGAAGGCGTAGAATACGTGTTTTTGTCCTTTGAATGTGTTGAACTGTTTAAATAGGCAGATAACGCAGTGGTTCAACGGTGTCGCCTTTAAGAACGTCAGATCCTCGTCGCGTATCACGAATGGCCTGAGGCTCCAATAATCGTGAAGCTCAGCGTCTTTTACCATAAACGATGGCACAGATGCAGCTGATGAGTGTTAGATTCAACCTGGCATGCAAGCGAGACTGCTGTCGCTGCAATGTGCGATTTTCGTGTCATTAGCGGTCGGCAACGTCCGCCTTTTTGGCCGACCTACTGACCTGCGATGGTTGCTAGCTGCCCGGACGAGTTCTTAACATCGCCCTTATTAGTTCTATTAGTCACATAACCCCATTTGCTTGATCTACTGTCTGTCCAGATTTAATGGAGTTGAGGAGCAACAATGGTGAGGCGAAGATTATTGACGAAGCAGGAATCAATCGAAGCTGAGGCCGAGGCTATATCAAAGGACGAAAACTCACACAGCGGCGTAGTTGACATCCCTTGCAGATCCTGTAGCTCCTCGATCATATTGAAAAATGGAGAGGATGCTCAGTTGGGGTTAGCTGTAGAGGATATATCGGATGGATGTATTTTGAAAGATGAGTCAAAAGTAAATGAAGTCAGGAAACACAGTGGGCTCATGGGAAACGTAGATCTGATCGAAACATGTATGCTAAGACGATCGAGATCCGTGTCCTATGCGGTAATTGCTCCCTGCCAGATCCGTGTCCTATGCGGTAATTGCTCCCTGCCAGATCCATTCACGGAAAGTTATCGAGCTGCTAATAAAGTCGTACATAACTTACGACCGGATAGTTGCTACTTGCACGGCACCCGGTTTGCCCTTGATCTGTGTTATAGATACGTTTCTTCATGACAATATCATCAAAAGAGCATATTGTTTCTAGGTGTTTGCTTTGCTGAGAACGAGCCGAACTATGCCAAAGCGCTCTCATCATAGCCACGTTGCTTATTCTGACTGTGATAAACAACTATGGTAACAGCCATCGAACCAGTCATGCCAACTTCGACTACTTGCCACAGGGTAGATATTCATAGATGACAACTTATTGGAGGGGGTCCCAGTAGTCGACAAATAAGCAGTGAGGCATGTCAATTCTGTTGCTGACCCACATCGCTACCCAAATGCTGTGGGGTCAATCAGAACTCTGTCGCCGAGGTATATTTTGTAGCGGTTATTCTTTCGAAACGATCAACTTCAGCCACACCTGAGAAACGAATCGCTTGACATGAAAACGACGCCGCCATATGTTTATTAGACGAGCAACGCTCGCAATAACAAGGAGCCGTTTTCATAGTACGGCCGGTGAGAGAAGGATCGGTCCGGTGGTCTTTTTACATCGAGCAA